AAAATAAAAAAACCTTAGACGAAACACTGGCTCGAATGACAGCTTTAGATGGGCTAACATTTAATGTATTTATAACATCAAAAGATTTAACGCAATTACTGATTACCAGTGGTTTCGAAAATTTGCCCAAGTCAGCAAACTCAATTAAAAGGATAGTGGTGAGTTACAGCTTAAATATTAGACAGTTAATTTCCAAAGAAATTTATCAATATAAAGCTTTGGAAACACGATTTTCTCTGAGCTTTGATGAATGGACCTCTACAACAAATAAAAGATTATGCCAAATCATGAACTTAAGGAGGAAGAATTATTAAATTCAGTTTCTTTGTTAAAAATTAACAAAAGTTCCGGTGTAGATGATATCAGCAGTATGGTCATTATTAAGTCACTAAAATATATAACAATAACACTTTTACATATTTTTAATTTATCTTTAAAACATGGAATTTTTCCTGAAAAACTAAAGGGTGCAAAAGTTACACCAATTTTTAAAACAGGTGATCCTTCTGATGTTTCCAACTACAGACTGATCTCTGTTCTTAATTGTTTTTCAAAGATTTTGGAGCGTATAATGTATAATAGACTTTATTCTTTCTTAAATGTAAATAATATTCTTTACAATAAACAATTCGGGTTTAAATCCGGTCATTCGACCGATCACGCAATAATTAATCTTGTGCGTGAAATTTTTAAAGCGTTTGATGAAAAAAAATTTACTTTAGGTGTCTTTATTGATCTGAGCAAAGCGTTTGATACCGTAGATCATAATATTATTCTTTATAAACTTAAAAATTATGGTATCATAAATTCTAACTTAGGCTGGTTTAAGAGTTATTTAAAGAATAGGAAACAATGCATTTTATATGATGGCGAGAAAACAGACTTGATGACAATTACCTGCGGAGTCCCCCAAGGATCAATTCTAGGACCGCTTTTATTTCTCATTTATATAAATGATTTGAGTAAATTTTCCAATATCTTAAATTCAATTTTATTTGCTGACGATACTAACATATTTTATTCAAATAAAGATATTAAATTTTTATTTACAACAGTGAACGAGGAGCTTGTTAAACTAAGCAAATGGTTTATATCAAATAAATTGTCCATAAATATTAAAAAAACAAAATATACTTTCTTCCATCGTCTTCATGATAAAGACAACATACCCTTACAACTTCCTAAGCTTTTTATTAATAACTCTTATGTCAAAAGAGAGAGTTCTTTGTTGTTTCTAGGCGTTGTTTTAGATGAAAACGTAACATGGAAGGAGCACATACGAATAATCCAAAATAAAATTTCGAAAAATATAGGCTTTTTATACAAAGCAAAACAGTTGTTGAACCAAACTTGTTTGAAACTTATTTACTTTTCTTTTATTCATTGCTATCTAAATTACGCTAACGTTGCTTGGTGCAGCACTAATGTATCTAAAAATAAAGGGCTTCTAATTAAACAAAAACACGCTCTAAGAATTATTGGAAATGTGAATCGCTTTTCGCACACTAAATTACTTTTTAATAAATTCAAAATACTTAACGTATTTCAACCTAACCTATATCATATTTTTATATTTATGTTCAAAGTAGATAATAAAATGGCACCCATTTTATTTAATTCATTTTTCGAAAAAATAAATCATTTATACCCAACAAGATTTTCAAACAACAATTATATTCAACCAAAAAAATATTATTCTGCGACTAGGTTCTCGATAGCAATCAGAGGACCTAAATTATGGAACACCCTATTGGATAATGAGTTTAAAAAAATTTCTTCCCTTAATCAATTTAAAATAAAAATAAAAAGTAAACTTTTGATAATTGACAATGAACTTGACTTCTTCTGAAACTTTTAAATAGGAGTAATCACTTGTTTTTTACTTGTTATTTAATTTATTTTTAACATATTAATTTTTGATTTTAATTTGAATCTTTACCTTCTTAAATTATCATGTTTTATCTCATTTTTATATACTATTAAAATTTGAAATCCTAATAAAAAAAAAATTAAAAAAAAAATTAAACTTTAATCAAAAATATTTAGATATTTGTATTTATATATGTACCTTACGCATATATTATATTGTGATAACGGATTTTTTTTGGTTTTTTGTTTTGTTTGTTACTTATATTCTTGTTTGAAGGGGCTTGGCGATAAGACTGAATTTGTCTTCTTCTTGCCCCAGCCGTGTATATACAGTTTTTAAAGTCTAGTTTTGTAAATATTTTCTTTATGGCGAAATATATATTATATTATTATTATATTATTATACATGAATATTAATGTACATATCTCAAATAAGCACTGGAATTTGGGTCTTATTCGTGTATATGGTTCTATGAATGCTGCGAAATGTATTGATGTTTTAAAAACACGTCTAAAGGAGCATAATGTTAATATTGATACAGACATTGTTGCTATTGTTACGGATGGTCCAAATGTAATGGTTCGTGTGGGAAAAATTATTAAGGCTGAACACCAGTTGTGTTTAGTCCATGGAATTCACCTTGCAGTTTGTGATGTTCTTTATAAAAAAAGTTCTTCGCCGATGTCCGACACCGAAGCACCATTGAAGGAAACTCAAGATATTGTTGATGAAACAGATGATCACGAAGATGAAGAAATTACGACGAGGAAACGGGATTAGGCTTTCTTCCCCCAACAAATGATGGGATAGCAAATATGGATTTACTCACCAATGAACAAAATATCAATGAACTAGTGAAAAAAGCCCGTAAGGTAGTTGTTCTTTTTAAACAATCCCCGACAAAAAATGATGCAGTCTTGCAAAAGTATGTCAAAGAAGAGAAAGGCAGCGAGCTTTCGCTCATTTTGGATTGCAAAACAAGATGGAACTCTCTTCTATCGATGCTAGAGCGTTTCCTTGCTTTAAAAACATATATACAGAAAGCTTTAATTGACTTAAACCACCCAGTTTCCTTAAACGAAAGTGATTTTGTGGTTCTTTCGGAAATAATAGAAGTACTTGCACCTGTCAAATTAGCAGTAGATGTGATTTTTATTCCAGCAGATTGCTCAAAAACAATCTCCCTTTGCTAATAAAATGTTCCAAGCTTTAAAAACAAGAATGGAAAAAAGACGATGTGAAGAAATTTCTGGTGTTTTAAAATACCTTCAAAATCCAAAATATGATGCTGTGAATGATGAAACAAATGTCTGCAAAATTTTTGGAGTTCCTCCTAAAACCCTTATTAGGAAGCAGATAAACTTATTGAGAGACTAGCTGCTTTTAAAAATGATAATTTAGAAAAATCAAGTATTGATGTTGATAAAAATATAATGGCTGTCGTTAGAAATGAAGAATCACAAGTTCGAGCCTCCCTGTCTTTAAGAGAAAAGTTACAAGCACAAATTGCACAAAGCATGAAAGCCATTGAACCAGAAACACAAACTTCAAATTTAATGTCAATCATAAAGAAAGAAATGCATCTGTTTGAAAATGGTGGAAACCGGGGTCATAATTTGCAATTAGTATACCAATATTTGTTATCTATTCCACCGACGAGCATCGAACCTGAGCGGGCATTTTCTGCAGCTGGGTATTTGGGAAGTAAAATAAGGAGTAGGCTAAATGACCAAGCCTTAAATGCTCTACTATTGCTTCGGGCATAATTTCAGACAAAAAAAGAAAGTTTGTAAATAAAATATGCATATAATATGAATTGTTTTTTTGTTTTACATTTATTATTTAGCTACCATTTATCTATAAAAATAAAATAAAGATTTTCTTTAATTTTTGTCTCTCAATATTAACAAACAACTTATTATGTTATTTTTTACAAAGTAGCTTGTTGCTACAGCAGCTACATCGGTACCCAAATTTAAGAAAATTTATGTTTACAAATTTATTTTGAAATTTTGATTGTTTAGTTACTTTAGTCAAATACACTTTATATGTTCAAATGTTATTTACATATCCAATTATTTGATGAAGGTTATTCTGTAAAGTCTGTAATCTTAAAACATAATATGGAAGGTACCGTATATATATTTCTGAATTATTTTAAGATCTTTATATACACCTGCTGCCTGTTAAGGTGAGTTTCCACTCATCCGTTTTTCTACGGGAACGGGATAGGAAAGGGAAAAATAATCACTTGAGCATGCGCAGTTTTACTTCGGACATATTAAAACTTATAATACGCATGCCCACGTGATTATTTTTCCCTTACCTTTCCCGTTCCCGTGAAAAAACGGATGAGTGGAAACTCACCTTTACACAATTAAAACAATTTAAGGCGCCGTAGAAAATTAATGTAAGTCATTAAAACATAATGAAACTAAATAAAGAATTGATAACATCAAAAAGTATATTCATATATGCAGTATTAAGTTCTGTTTTTTAGCAAATAACTCACATTATATAAAATCCCGGGATACCGGGATCCCGGGATTTTATTTACTTCAATCCCGAAATCCCGGGATCGTAATTCATGCCCGGGATTGCAATCCCTAGATATATATGAAATATATAAATCGATTCCTATATAATATAGTAACATACATATATAATATAGTAACAAGATATAACAGTAAAAAAAATTATATGTGTACTACTAATAATAATCGAAAGTACTTTGAGTTACAGGAAAGTTCGAGGTATCTATGGTTTGAGATATTGGGAGTTTACTGTATTCTTATGATTATTATTTTTACATTCCATCTACATAGAATTTTGAATTTTTTGCTGAAAGTTGCACTTTTTTATATATTTATATTTTTTAAATTTTAATTTATTATACTTTTGCAACATTTAATAAAAATACGTATGATAAAGCTTTATTAATATATCAATGATTTAACATTTAGTGCACAAAAAAATTAAATAATACATTTATTAATGTTAGAATATGATTGTTTTATATTTTAATGGTGAAAAAATCAAAATTTTACATGATATTTTTAGTAGAAAATTTCATAAGGATTTCTTGAAAAAATAATGACAAAATTGATAGTTTTTCGTAACTTCAAATGTTATAACTTTTCCAATTCTTATCAAAATGTATACAATTTGGTAAAAAAACAAAGATATGAAAAAGACAAGGCACCTACAACACTCAGTAATATGTTACGAATGTATAATTTTGGATTTTTATTTGCAATTTTTTATATTCTAACAGACGATCATTAAATATGATAGATAAACAAGTAGAAAAGAATATAGTAATACATAATACTCTCCTCATATGTAATACTCTCCTTAAACGTAAATCAAATTGTTTAAACCGGATATGGTGATTAAATGTTGTATCGGCATGGTTTTATCTGTCTACTTTGCTTTTTCAATTTGGTTGCCAGCTTCAACCTAATTCTTGATTTAGAACTATGATTTTGAATTAAAACATTTCCGTGTTGAATAAAATATTATTTATTCTTAACTGTATTTTTTTTGAGGCTTCAGTTATCAAATGTTGGTGGTAATTTTAGTTATGCCACTGTGAAAGCGTCGATTGTTAAGTATGTGTTTACTTTTTGCATTTTGTTTTGCTATGCAAATATCTTTTAATAATAATTACTTAATTATTAACTAATAAGTTTTGTTTTGTTAAATTATTTATTATGGTTATTATTTATCTGTATACATTACACTATAGAGTATATGTAAATGCATGTGCAATAGCATAGGTTGTATTTTTTTATGTATTCACATAAGACATTTTTAAGCACATTGTCCAATTTGCAAACTTAATTATTTTTATCCTTATGTCGGTTTGTAACTTTATTAGTATTTTAGCTTTCAAAAGTTTTGACCATATAAAGATTAGTTTCTCTCCTTAAATGAGGAGGTTGCAAATTGTACATCATCATAACTTTTGAATACTAATATGAACTCATTTCCCTCATATTCAGATATAGGAGAGCAAAATTATTTAGGTGTTTAAGTTTTCAAGCACCTATGTATTAATTATAACAAATAATAGATTATAATTTATTTTTTTCATTGTCATTCCAGGTAAACATAAAAAGTTTGAAGTATGCACAAAGCCTGAAAGTGTCAAATATGGAACCTAAAAAAACCTGCCTTTGCCACTGACTGACTAAAGGTTTTTTAAGGTAAGAGCTTAAATGAATTAACAGAAAAAAAGTATTATAAGTTATACATTTTTACACTAAAATAGAATAAAAATATATATTTGTAGTTTCAGTTTTTATTGTCACAAATATTAAATATTTGTGACACAGAATACAGATATTGATGTCTGTCTTTTTTAATGTTATCAATGCTATATCTACTGTTGTCTTTTTGTGCATGACCTAATTTCTTTTTATATCCATACTTTTTTAAACCTGTTTGTCAAGCATCAAGTCAGGTTATCTTGCTACTGGTACCATGTAGCAGGTTGTATGCCATTCATACGATGTTTGGGCACCTGTTTGTAAAATATTGCTGCAAATCTTTTTGAGAGAGCCATTACTATGGAGAACCATCTAAACCATACAAGTGTGGAAACATGAATGTAAATCTTAAACACATTTGTGATATATAATTGTAGAATGTTATATGTTATAAGTTTGGAAATTATATTCTGCTAAAAAAACTTTTTAAATGTATTTTAGCAGAACATACATGGCCCGCTTTGATCCTGAAAAACGTTCTTTTTGGACCAAATGCTAGCTGGGTAATTTGGACTTGTAAATGAACTTATTATTCAAAATTTTGAAACTGCTTATGATCTGATTTTATTTTTTTCATTTGTTTATTTAGATTAATGTGAAATAAACTGATGAGTTTATTTAACTTAGCTGGTAAAAAAAAGAGTTTTCGTAAAACAAATTTAATGAAGACACTTATAGGTATGCCTGTTAATGTAATATATTTTGTGTTGTATTTTGTATGCTTAGTTTTGACGAATTTTTAAATACTGCAAACTCACAATCGCACAAAAATCAACTGTGAACTCTTATTTAATCAGTTGCAAAAGTTGACTTTGAAAATTTTGTATAAGATATTATAGCTTATTTATTAGACTGTGTTTTTAGAATGAAGTTCATTCATTTGCTGGCAACATTTTTAAACGTGGTCAAGATCGAAAAAATCTGGTGCTAGAAATTGTCGATGGTGGAAGTGATAGATGCATCGAACCTAATTTGTAATTAATTTCTGTAAATAAATTTCACTTTGTTTTTCTAATGGTATTTGAAATTAATAAGTCTAAAAATTAACGTTTAAAAAAATACGCAACAAATAAGACCTATTTATGGCTTTCCATACCTAATGTTTTTCAATATTTCTAAACTGTAACTTAAACTAAACTCAATTTTTTAGTCCTATCGGGACGTCTTTTTTATGTTCCTCGTAAGGCGTCTTTTTTACGTTCCTCTCAGGACGTCTTTTTTATGTTCCTTCTGGGACGTCTTTAAAACGTTCCACGCATGACGTCTTTCTGTATTTCCAAATCCAACCAATTTAAAACGTCCTAAAGCTGTCTGCGTGCCCACTGGGTATTTGTCAGTCGATGTATGTACTAAAGCCCCTGGAAGCAGGCTATTTGACGTTAGGTATATATATATATATATATATATATATATATATATATATATATATATATATATATATATATATATATATATATATATATATATATATATATATATATTGATTTTAATTATTTTTCACATTTTTATTTACATTTATTTTAGATTCTATTTTACCATTAGATTATTTATATTATAATAAATATTCATTTTATTATTATATTATTAGTTTATTATACTCTTATCTTGTAATTAGTTTTTTATTCGTTAAATTAAGTAAAAATCATTATGTTGCCAATTTGTTTTATTGTTATTTCATTATCATTCATCATTGTTATTGTTTATAGTTTTTATAGCTGTTATATTTTGATTATTGCTTTCTCTATTATACCTAACTAGCAAAAAGCAACCCGTAATAAGGTTTTTGGTCGGTCTGTTACATAATTAATTTATAGTGGCTATTTTCCACAATTTAATGTTGCAAATCCTTAACTAATACCCTTTTAAAAAAACGCCTTCAGCTTGAAAAAGTTATTCTATCTGTAAAATTAACATAAAAAGTATGAGGAGGTAAAATAATTTACCAACTACTACTTAACATTTACAAATACTACTTAACATTACTTGAGTAATTTACAACTGAATCTAAAAACTATCTATTATTCATTTTTAACAATAGACACCACATGAAGCTAAGCTGTTTCTCAACACAAAAAATCACAGCAATAACATTACAAGAATAACACATAAAAATAAAATCTAATTAAAATAATAAACTTAATTAAAATATGAAAGGCAAAATAAAAAAACCAATTTGAAGTTAACTATATTTACCTTTTTACTAAACTTTAATAAAGTATATTTGTTTTTATATTCAATATTAGTTATTCAATTATTTCAAATTTAGGACATTAAAGCACCCTAGATTTAAAGATTAAGGTTACATACTCTCTCATCCACATTACGCTAAACATTAACAGACATTATTATGTGTTTCCAGAATAATTAAAAAAAGCTAGACAACATAAACTAGCTATAAAGCAGTGACACCACCTGGCACTAAATGCTGCCAAATCACACCTCTGCTATAAGTACACCGCAAGGCTGGCAAGGTATTCAAACTTGCTTAACATAATACCAAGACACACCACTTTGAAAACATGGAAACAACATAATCTAAACATATATACAACTATAAAAAAATATGACTTTGTGTAACACATATAAACATATTTTACAACTATTGAATGACAGACATTTTTATCAAAAACTATGAAAAAAAAAAAAAAAATAATGATAAATAAAGTTATACATACAAAATGTGTTCACAACCTTTAACAGTAAATTTTCGAAATGAAAATCTAAAGACTATAAATTAAAAACATTAGAAGTTATAACAATATTTATTTAACATTTTTTACATACTATACCTTGAATAAGATGTTTATCAATTTTAAAAAACAAACTGTTAAATGTTCTAGTTCTTGAACATGCAACATATAGTTGACCATGAGAGAAACACGGTTTTTGAGATGTTTATTTTTGCGTTACATAATATATAGACGATCCTTAAAGTAAAATACTTGAAACTAAAAATATTTTATTCATAACAATATTTGAACAACCAAGGGACAATTTAAAGAATTATATCTTATATTATAAATGGTCATTATCAATGGCAGTATTAAAAAATTTGCAAGAGCTCAGTAATTACATGAGTAATTCCTGTACTATGTCTTATTTTAGTCTCATCTAAAAGAGAGAGAGGAAGTGTTTCAAATGCAGCATGTTAGAAAAAGTAAAAAAGTCATGCAATAAATAAAAGTAATTGGTTTTATTATGCTACCAATAAACAAAGTTATTTTTACCTAAACTAAAAGTTATTTTCCAGCATTTCTTAATTAAGTTCCAGCTTCGTTTTAACTGTTAACAAATGAATAATATAGTAAATTTCACATCATATCAAATTTACAAAATTAAAACCATGTTTCAAAAGCAAAATAGTCAAGTGATGACAAAGACAACTAAAAAAAAATAAACACAATTATGTTTAGGATTACAAAAAAAAAAAAAAAAAAAACTTAATTCATTCAAAATTAAAACTGTTATTATTTGTTACTATAAATAGTAAAATTCATACTTTGCTTTATTTTAAAGTGTCTAATGTAAAATCAAATAATAGACATCAACACCGCTTGACACTGAATTCTGGCAAGTAAGTTTTCTGTTCATCAAGCAAAATTTCTTATATTTCAACGACAATTAATTTTATCACGCCTAGATCTATCTCTTTCATATGATTACAATTTCAAGTCACCGATAACCATTTACACTAATAACTTTTTCGAGCCTAATATTACACATATGTTATCATTAAACATATTACAAGTGATTATACTACTGTTACAACTGAATAAATGAACGTTTATATTTTTACAACTGAAAAATATAAAAAAAAATTTATTTACATTATTTTAATTTAGAAAAGAATTTAGACTACAATGCAAAGTTATTTTTACCTTCAGACACAATCTTAATGCACAAAAACAATAAATGCAGAATCCTTGTAAAAAATGAAGCAATGTCAGTCTAAAGTTATATATGTATGTATGTATATATATTCAAATTTTTTCTATTCTTTTTAATTTTTCTTTGAGATAATATTTATATAGATGCAGAGAAATATAGAATATACTGATATATAGGCACATTTATGCATATAAACTTACCTGTCAAAAATTACAGTCAGTTTTCCATGCTAAATACATAAAATATATATCTAATATAAGATAAATCTAATATAAAATAAAAAAAATATTAAACTTACTCAAATCAGTAACAGTTCGACTGTCTAAAAATTATTATTATTAACCCTTTTATTTAAAAAAAGAAATAATTGATTTGAAGTGACTAAAAATCACTTCAGCTCTTTCCAATTGCACTAAAAAATAAAATAAATCTTGCTTTGCTAAGTTGCTTAGCTCTTAAGAATCTGAAAACAAATAAGTAAAAAACCAAGAGCAAAAAAACATTTGTTTATTAAAAATAGTCTATTTAAACAAATTAAATTAAACAGAGAGCAACAATGATTCTCCTTGCTAGCTGAAAATTTTTTTAGCTCAAATTTGCCTGCAGACCTTACTTGTAAAACCACGTGAATAAAAAAAGCATTTAAAAAGCCCATAAACTACTTAAAAATAGTATATGCAACATTGAACTTTAAATGTTGACTGGACTAATTATCAGTAAATATTTTAAAAAAATTCATAAAAATTTTAAATGATTTGTTCTTCTTTTACAAATAAATACACCTATGATAAATCTGAAGTTAAAAAATGTAACGAATAAGTAAATACAAAAAAAAACATCATAAACGAATTGAAAATCAATTTACCTGATAGAGATAAGCTGTTGTGGTACCTGAGTAGTAGTTGTTAAATATTGTTATTTCATGACAAAAAAAATTTATTCATAGCAAAATGGTTTTGAATGACTTTTAGTAAATAAATAAAAGCAGTGAGTTCTAGTAATGACTTTTAGTAAATAAATAAAAGCAGTGAGTTTTAGTAATGACTTTTAGTAAATAAATAAAAGCAGTGAGTTCTAGTAATGACTTTTAGTAAATAAATAAAAGCAGTGAGTTCTGGTAATGATTTTTAGTAAATAAATAAAAGCAGTGAGTTCTAGTAATGAAACTACTTATTATTCATTTTTAACAACTGACAAAAATTTTAACAATAGACTAAACAACTGACACCAACATAAAGATAAGCCAAAGATAATAAAGTTACGCAAAAAATTATAAAAAAGTAATTTTATGTATAATAGTGATAATGGTTATAATTCTACTAATAAATCTGTTGTGCGCGGTGTTCCTCGAGGTTCTGTTCTTGGTCCTCTTTTGTTCTTCATTTATATTAATGACATAAACAACTCTACTCGCATCTTGTCAATTCATCTTTTTGCTGATGACACAAACCTATTGCTTGTTAACAAATCGTATAATTCTCTTGTAAAAACATAAATTCAGATCTAAAAGGTATTGTTCACTGGTTAAATGCTAACTTAATATGTTTTAACAAAAAAAAAAAAAAATTTTTTCTAAAAAAAAATTCCAAAATCCAAATCCAAATTAATAATAAACGGTTATATCCCACAAAAGTTATCAAGTATCTCGGTTTTTTGATGGACTGCAATCTCTCGTGAAATTTTTATTTCGATTAGCTACGCAAAAAACTAACTCGAGCTAACAACGCACCTTCAAAAATTCGCCATTATTTCGATAAATTCAAACTAAAGAATATTTGCTGTGCATTATTTTTATCGCATCTTAGTTGCTGTTGCCGAACTTGGGGATAAAAAGGCAACTATCACATCAAAAATTGATATCTTCTCAACGTCAATCTATAAGATTAATAAACTTTTAACCTTTTAAGTCAGAAACATCAGAATCTTTCAAAAAACTAAAAATTCCAACCTTTCAAGCACTTGTAAAACTTGCTTATCTTATTTTTGTTTTTGACTCTCTTAATCAAAATTTACTCTCTCCTATATCAGACTTTTTTTACAGAAAGTAGAATAATATAGAATAATAGAATAATACATAAATAATACATACATACTCTCCTAGAAACATATATAATGGG